GGTGCCGGGGGGGGAGCGGCAGCGCCGCGGCCCCCGCCCAGACCGGCCCCCCAAAAAACACCTTTTCCCACCCGCTTCCCGGAGAGGAAAGAAAAGCAGCTTTTCGGGCTGTTCCTGCAGGCCGGGCAGGGGCTGAGGCAGGAGGGAGCTGCACCCCCGGGAAGGGTTTCTGCTGGGCTTGCCATGGACATCTCGGTGCAGCAGGCTCTGGTGAAGCCCAAGACAGTTTTCGATCCAGAATCTCTGTCCTCCACATCCCAGGAATGTGGTGAACTTCTCTGGGACCTGCTAGCCAGGAGCCAACCACACGCCTTCATCCCTCTTGGGGAAATGTGTCCCCAGGGATCTCAGGGCACTGCCTGGCTTTGGGCAGAGCTGGACAGAGCAACCACGGGGACCCGAGCCCCTGGCCCCTCTGGGTTAGAGCCTGGCTCTGAGCACCAGCCCTGGGAAGAGCAATGGTGGTGGAGAAGGGCTTCTCCCCCTCCCAGTGCAGCTCTCACAAGGCTGCAGGAAAGCCAGGCCTCAGCCAGGACCCTTCCTGCACCCACAACTCATGGTACCCATCATGTGGGAGCCTAGCACCCATGGCTCTTGTAGGGGACTGCCCTGGAGCCAGCTGTGGGTTGTCCTCCTGCCCTGCTTTAGACACCATCTCCCAGCAGCCACCTGAGCAGAACAGTGGTGTAGATGCACCCCAGAGCTGGAGAAACACGCTGGAAAGCCACTGGCCTTGTGACTGCAGTTGGTGGACAGAGGTGAAAGGGAGAAGATGCCCAGCAAGGTGGGCAGGCACCTCACACTGCCCTGGCCTCACCCCCCACCCACCCAGTGACCAACAGGTCTGTGCTCTGGGGCTCCTCCTTGGCCCAGACTGTGCTCCTGACCCTCAATGGGTGTCTCTTGCTCCCAGGGCACCCTGTGGGACTGGACTGCTCCTTGGGGACATACATCCTGCTGTACCCCATCCTCCTTACTGGTGCCTGTCCTCTCCCAGTGCTGACCCTGGCTGACGGCTCTGGGATGTGCCCCACGCTACCTCCCTGGTGTGTCCTTGCTCTTCCTGCACTGCCCGGTGCCACACGTACCTGCTCCCTCCCAGCTGCTGGCCCAGGGGTTCCCCTCCGGCTCCTGGTGGGGCAGCGGGCAGGTCCGGGGGCATCTTCCTGCAGGCAGAGAGGGAAGGGCCGGTGGGGGTCCCCGGGTCACCTCACAGCTGGGTGCCCCTGGCAGGGCCACCTGCCATCGAGTAAAGATGCTCCAGGGCGGACTGCAGGCAGCTTTCCCAGGCACATACTGTTCCCAAGCAAGGGAGGAGCGGTGGTGCCCCCACTCCTCTTAAAGGGACAGCAAGTAGCGCATCCCCTCTTCTTCGTTAGCCTTCCTCTCGTTAGGCCCAGGCCCCCAAACCTGACCAGGTGGCTCCAAATTTCACCGTGGCAGCAGGTTTCCCCTTGCCCACCCCGGCTCTGCGGGTCCAGCCGTGTGGGTCCTGCATCCTCAAGTCAGGACTGTCCTCAAACCCTCCTCCCACCAGAGCTCATTTAATGAAGGCAGGGCGGCCTGTCCTAATTAGACGAGGGGCTTCGTTAAACAGGGAGCCGAGGGGTCTGCCAAGGGCTCTGCAGCTGGCCCCGGGCCCGGAGCTGGCGGAGCAGCCCCCCGGCAATGCCCAGCGGGGCAGCAGGCGGGGGCAGCGATGCTTCGCAGCTGTGCCCCGAGCTCTGCCTGCCCCCTCGGCCGCGGGAACGTGGCCAGCCCCCGGTGCAAGGCCGTGCCCCCCAAACCCTGCTCCCCCAGGGACAGCCCAGCAGCACTTTGACTATTTCACCGGCAGCATCTCCCTTGCACTGGCACCGGAGGGGAGCACGCAGGGGTGCTGGGTCCCCAAAACCAGAGTGCCTCCCCTTCCGCAGAACTTCCCAGCTCCTCCCCACCCCCACATACCAGGGCCGGGGAAGGAATCCGCGGCCCCGGGCGCAGGTCGGTGCAGCCTCGGCGCAGGGAAGAGTGAGTACCAGGTGCGAGTGACTCACGCAGCCACCCCGCGCCGCTGCACGCCAGTCCCTCCGGGAACATCCCGAAAAGCTGTGGGCCCTTTCCCAAGCCTGGCGGGCTGGCAGCCAGACCACTGGTCTTCATTCCCACAGCCGAGGCTTGGGATTCCCCATCCCCCAGCTGGCTTGGCCTCAAAGCACATTGGTTCCTCTCCACTGACACCGATCAGCACCTGCAGGGCTGACCCGAACCCCAGTGCTATGATCCTCCCAGACCTGTGCTTGCCACCTCCACCCTGAGTGCAGCACTCCAGCCATGGCACAGCCTCTGCTGTCTGCTGCCCTTTAAGTCTCAGTTCATGAGAACACCTAATATGTCTCCTCTGGTCCTACTGGTCTTGGTCCTGCAGGACACTGCCCTGGGCTGCAGGAACAGGGGAAGCACCAGCTCCGAGCCCCTCAGGGGGTCACACAACCCCCAGGGACAGGAGCCTCCCAGTTTGAGAGTGAGCTGGCAGGAAGCACCGGGGCTGAGCCCCTCCCTACCCAGCATGTGCCAGGCAGGCAGCCTTAGTGGGAAAATCTGTTTTCTTCAGCCCCAGGTGAGGTTCCAGCTGCGCGTGGAGTGGCAGGAAACATGAGTCACGGGGCACAGTGAGGTGTGTGCTGGGCTGCAGAGCCAGCTGCAGACACAGTGCCATGGGTCCCACACTCCATCCTCTGCCCATCCTCTCTGCACCCCACAGCTGCTGCCTTCAGCTCTGACCTGGCGTAGACTGGGACTCAGCACAACCCTTATAGGATTTTATTTTCCTGGCTCTACAGCAGTCCAGCAGTGCTCCGCAGTCCAGCACAGTGTGGGCACCCCCAGCCAGCAGGGACACACGGGGCAGCTCTTGGACTGCTGGAAATGAGCTGCCTCCTCTCCATCTCCTCTTAAATTTGGGGGCTTTCAGGTGGAGGGGAGAGTAGGGGCTGGCACTGAGGTGGGAGAGGGGAGGAGGAGCTGGTCAGAGCCAGAGGGGAACCTTAACCTGCCAGAGGGGCTGGTTGGGACACGCTCCAGGAATGTTTCCTAGCACCAACTACTGCTTGTTTGCTGCCACAGCATCCAGCCACCCACCTCCAGCATTCTGGGGAAGGGTCCTCTGAACCTCCAACTTGGGGAGAGCAGTAGAGAGCCAGGATTATGCTCACGGTATGACCTCAGGGACCCTGTTCCACCCTGCAAGGCTCCCAAGCAAGCCCGGGGGCCTTGAGATGGGCCAGGGCGAAGAACTGGTCACTCCTTACCTTCTGCTGACCTACCCCAAGGGTTGTGGGGTGGGAGACAGCTGTGTCAGCCCCCCTAGGTGTGCTTCACAGGAACAGGCAGAAGATCCCCAGCTCCTCTGTGCTGGAAGGGACATCTAGATCATAGCACCCCCCAACCCTGCCACTGCCAAAAAAACACAGCCCTGTGGAAAAAGGAAGCAAAGAGTCACATCAAGGTGAAACTGTGACTGGCAAGCTGCCCTCTCTGCCCAGCAGCTCTGGGGATGCCCAAAGTGAGTGGGATGCTTCTGGATGTGGGGACCACAGTGGCTGTGGGGGCAGCAGCAGGGAGGGTCTGCTGGGTGAAGGATGATGGAGGCAAGTGGTCCTGCTGCAGCCAGGCTTGTGGTCAAGCTGAGCCCACTGTGCCCCCATGCTAGGGCTAGTGAGGAGGGAACATGCCCCAGGTTCCCCCACGGCTGCTGTGGAGGGATGGGAAGTTTTTCCTGCCCATAAACTGTTGTGTCTGGAGGCTGCTGCTGGCGTGGCCGCAGACCAGCATCTCACGAAGCTGCACTGGACTGTAGCCAGGGTAGGCTCAGGGAGGGAATGGTGACACTGCAGAGCTGTGACTTCCCCTTGGCTGAGTCAGGCAGAAGGCAGCTCTGGTCAGACTGACTGCGGAGGCCAGACTGGCTCTCAGGCAGAGCACGGGAGGGGAACACCAGGCACCACCAGGACTCTGCAACAGCATGGGACCAGTGTGCCCGAAAGGGAGGGTGACAACGGGGACCATGACAGTGGGATGAGGAGCCAGCAGCCCTGTGTGAGGCTTGAGAGTCCCTGGTTAACAAGCTAACTTCATTAACTGCATCCTGTGGCTGAGCTTTGGGT